TTGGGGTGTAAAATTAGATTACTGATTTGAAATATTTCACAACTATGAAATTTTTCTCTTAGATTACTTTAACTGAGTCCTGTGAGTTTGAGTATGTTATGCTTTCATTTTCATTTGTTTCAAGATATTTTCTAATTTCCCTTATGACTGCATTTTTGACTCATTGGATGTTTAAAAGTGTGTTGTTTAATTTCCATATATTTGTGTATAGTATGCTTGTATGAAATTTTCAGCTTCCCTAAATCCAACTTCCTGATATTTCCAGAATGCTGTTGTCTGTTATGCCTCTGTGCCTTTGTGCATGCTATTCCTTTTTCTGGGAAATTCATCTCTGGTCATTCCTCCAGATATCATTCTTTCTTACAATAAAGGAAGCATCATCTTAAAGGTATCACTCCCGTTTTGCTCATATGACCTTCAGTGCATGCCTCTGTTCTAGGTTGATCATCTTGTTTTGAGATGATTTGGTTGTCTCTTATTTTAGATACTGAGCTTCTCAAGAATAGGCATCTTATATCTTGTTCAGAATTGCAACTCCAGTTCTCAGAACAGTACTTGGATCATAGTGAATGTTTGTTTGATATGATGATTGTGTATATTTTTGTTTGCAGTGACAAATTTATCTGATCATATGGTTGCTTTTTTAATACTTCTAGGAAGTGTTCCTGCTCATTTGTATGGCGTGACAAAGTTTGGAGATAACATTGAGGATGAATGGTTCATCGTTTATGTAATAAAGGAAATTACAAAGGAGTTTCCAGAGTTAATAGCAAGGTATTGTAGGTTATTTTAATTATTCTAAAGGAAATTATTTTTTTAAACTAAGTCACCACATTTTTAAACATTTAACAATTCTTTTTCTGAGCTCTGGTAAAAATTGTGCAAATTTGGGACATATCTAAAAAGTTACCTCAGTGTTTTTTCTTCCCCTTCTCTTATGACTGCCTTTTCTTGGGAAATTATTATTGGAGAGTTCAACTTCCAAAATATTGGAAACAAAGCATACTTAT